ATCATAAGTCATTTCAGGCAGAATGAGGGAATATCAAGATTATTGACTGACTGTTGGGCATATAAAACTGCTGTTGGGGATACTGCTGAAAGAAAGTAAAGGCTAGGTTTGGCCTTAAATATTTCAGAATGAAAACGTCTGTCCTGTTGCAAAGAAACTGTAGCTATGTGGAGTTTGAACTTCAGGTTTCTGAAACACTTCATATCAAGTGGAATTGAACACAGGCTAGCATCCCTGCTCTGGCAGGGGGGTTGGACTAGATGATCTCCAGAGGTCCCTTCCAACCCTAACCATTCTGTAAACCATTCTATTCTCTATCAGGCAATTGAATAGCTGAACCAGGTAACCTAATTAAAGAAAAATAGTTGGATTAGTCTTTGAAAACAGGCTACAACAATTTTGTGTAGTGTTTTCACTGTATTGGGAAAGGGAATTACACATGCTGTGAAAGTAAATGTGGTACTTGTGGTACAGAGGAGAGGTTCTGAGCATAATTATCTGCAAAAGCACCAAAATTGTTTGAGTGTGTTTAAAACTTTGCCAGTAAAGTTAAAAGAACTTCTGAGCTTTAAAATCAGTGTAAAAGTTATTTCTGTGTGCTCAAAACCTAATTGTAACTCCTGTATCAACACAAAATTACTGATACTGTCTTGCTGGTGTACGTATCTTCTGTGATTTGCTAGGGACACAGATTGGATGTGTATACATGTGAGCAGTTTTCCAAAAAGAACTTGTTTGGAATACTGTCTGTGTTTTTACACAATTTCCATAATATTTCTGTCCTTTCAATAAAAGATGTCCTTAACAAGATAATGTTTTCAATATTTGTTTTTCTTTACAGGATGCTTACATAGGAAACTTTCTTTTCTAAGCTGTGGCTCTGTACTTCCTGTTAATAAAAATCTCAGTGGCTGGAACACTTGGTACACCAATTAAAAAAAAAAAAAAAAAAAAGGATCGCCTTTGTTGTGCCAATGTTACCTGAACAGTCTCTTTTTTTGTAAAGGTTTATTAGAGAGAGTATTTATTTTCTTGTTTTTTGTAGCAAATTCTGAAATCGAGGTGTCTGTGTCTGCAAGAAATGTGAGAAGGTTGCTTAGTTTCCAGCGATACCTGAGATCTTCCCGTTTTTTCCGTGGTATCACTGTTCCAAATTCTTCAAACATTTTAGATGATGATTATAATGGACAAGCAAAGGTTGGTTGCTTGATTTTTATTTTCATTTTTAAAGAATGTTTTTAAAAATGTTTGCTAGCGTACAACTGTATCTTAAGAGAGTGCAGACAAATACAAATATTGAGCATGTATTTTTTTATATATGTGTGTGTATATATGTGTTGTATATATATGTCTGTATCTTAGTAAAGTCCAGACAAAATGACCTGATTTCGAACAAACTCCTTTACCTCCCACAAGTTTACTGGGATGGTTTTTAGAGCTTATATGGCAGTTTTTTAATAACTAGTGAATGGAGGATGCACTGTAATAATGGGGGGAAAAAAAAGTGAAGAAAGAAAAATGTAACTGTATTTAAGAAGTGTGATGGAGCAATTTGGACAGCTATGACCTCCCCTTCATGTTCCCTTCTTAGTCTAACCTCATTACTGAACATCTGGAAGAGTGAGTGACTGCTACTGAAAACTCAATAAAATGCATAAATGGATTTATCAGAAGATTATTATGCCAAACTGACTTTTTCTTTGGTAGGCAATTCTAGAAAATAAAAGTGTGATAGCTCTAATATACCCACACTGCAGTAAAGCATACTGGGAAGATGGGCACTACTAAAAGAATAGTTGGATGAGGGGCTAGTGAACTGGGGACAGAGGATGGATAGAGCTGAAGGGGAGTGAGCAGGCAAAGTTTACAGGTTATTCAAGATCCCAGAGGCTGTGTTGTCTTAATGATTGTGTATCAAGCTTCTTGTTTGTAACCTTGATGGAGAAAAAGGGATGCTTATAATGCAATATATCCATATGGCACGTAATCAGGCTGCAGAGTTGGAGGAACCTGGTAACCTGGAGAACAGATTTAAAAAGTGTACATCTAATTAAATAGCAGAAAGATCTTGTTAATGCTGCCTGTTTCTTCTGGTAGCTGAGTTTTAGTGGCTGGTGGAGAAAAGCTAGAACGCAGTAATTGGATTGCGAAAAAGCTCTACCAATCTAATGAGAATAGGAGAAGACAAGTATCTGTTGTAAAACGTGCTGGGCAGGTATTTCTGATAGAGGTAGGGGAAGCAAGGACTGTGACTGCTGAACTCTGGTGAGGCCCCGAGTGCTGTTTGCTGTTCTTGTTCATCCATGCTGCTGGAAGAACAGTTCATGTGGAGCAACTCAAGAAGTGCTGGTTTAGTGAGGTGGAAAGTCAAAAAGCCAGTTTCGTTTAAAAGATATGAAAAGTTTGGCTCGTGTCTAGTGAAGCATCTAGGTACTATTTCTCTTAAAAAAAAAGAGAGAAACCACGGTGAAGGACTACACATAGGTTAACTATTAGCTCATTGCAAAAATTAAAAGTGGAAGAAGTCTGAACACCGAGTTATTCTGTCACGCTGTTTTTAACCTAATTGTTTTAAATTTTATTTCTTTTAAGAAATTGACTAAAGGATGAAGAGAAAATCTCAAGCCAGTACTGTTGAGACACTTCTTGTATTTGCAAGATATATTTTAAAATTTTCCAGTTATCAGACAAATTTAACTATTATTTTGATACTGTTTTTTCTAGATAAAAATCCTAAGACTTGCATCAGTCTCTGAAATCTTAAATATTCCTTTGGGCTATGGGAAGATAGGCATATACTGAGAAAAAAGTGACAGCTTTTGTGTTTTCTTTCAGTGTATGCTGGAGAAGGTTGGAAATTGGAATTTTGATATTTTTCTTTTTGATAGACTGACAAATGGTGAGTTTACTTTTGCTATTTCATTTGTGTTTTATCTCTTAGCATAACTTAACTATTGCCCTTACATTGTGGTATGTGATTTCTTGTTCGCTAAAAAGCACAAATTTCATCAAGTAGTACTTTTTGATTTAATAGTCTTTAATCTAAATCCTAGCTTGCCCGGCCACTCCATTAAAATGCCATCACTGTCAGTACTAATAACAGTCATTGATTTGTAGAAGAGACCCCCTTTGTAGGTTGCTGTTCTCTCTTTTAGTGTAAGTAGCAATTTGTTATAAATTAACAAATAATTTTGCTAATTTAGTAATTTTTTTTAAATTATGGAATGCTGTTAATTTATATGGTTCTGTCCAAAAGGTCAGTTACATTGAATAAGTATTTTTTTCTGCTAAATTCAATGTTGAGTAGAATAGTTCCATTACTTTATGGTACCATAAGAAGGCAAAGTGATATGAGTGCATTATAATTACATCTAGCAGAATACTTAGAGAATTAGGAGTTGAGCAGACAGATGCTGCTGTATCTGTAGCTTGCACAAAATAAAAAACGGAAGAAAAGATTATGGTTAGTTTTGTACACTCATTAAAAATAGCCGTAGAAACTAAAGAAGTAGTCGCTTTAAAAAAAAAAAAGTCCAAGCATTGGCTAAGTTATGGACAGAGAGTTAGAAAAGAGATCTGTAAATGTGCTGGAAAGGAGGAGGGAGGGCTGCTGCAGTGGATAGAGTGAAGTTTTGTATTATAATCTGCAGCAATGGAGGCTGAGTTTTGAATAGAATGGAAGGATGACATGAGCACGTCCAGCACAAAGGTGACATTTGTGTCAGTGTGGAAGCGAATGGAGGGCAGCTCTTGCAGGTTGTCATCAGTCGAATAGAATTGGTAGCAGAGATGCAGTCAGAGTGTTTAAAGTTGACAGAAGGAAAGAGAAATGAAGTTTGGAAAGGAAAATATGGTGCCAAAGATAATTTTCTCCCCTGTTTTGTTGCAGAGATGCTTGGCTTAAGCTAGTGTAAAAGAAGTATCCTCACAGCTTGATTTAATACAGAAAATGGATATAAAAAAAAGGAGAAGAGCAAAGATTTTTACAAATAGAATGTTTATATAGATAATAATAAACCTTAGACTAGATAACCGGATGAGAAAAAGCTATGTGTGCAAGTTAACCTGTTTGTAAGCATAGCTTATTTCAGATGAGTTTATCAGATGTGAGTGACCTGAAATAATCCTTTTTATATGAGGCCTTCTCTACCTTTTAAATATGCTTTTTCCATTTTAGATACTACCAGTACAGCTTCTATTGTGGAAGCCTTCCTATACTGTCCTTTTTGCATCCTGATTTAGTCATTTTAGGAGGCAGTCTTTTTCTTGAAAGTTTGTAAGGGGAGAATGCTGTATATAAATCTCTGCTTGATGAGCTGTCCTGGACGAGCTTGTAAGAAACAAATTACTCAGTAACTGTTGTTTGAAGAATTGTGTGTCTTACTGTGAGGAAGTAGTGTGCACGTTTGAATACATTAAGCCTAGTAATAAGCTAGATTTAGCAGAAATTTTTGTCCTTTGGTACCTCAGTGTCTCTCTGTGCTAGGTTATTTAATTCCTGCCAAATGAAGATTGTCAGAGTCAATGTACCGAAACTGAGTTATCTGCCATTACATATTGTTTGCAGAGTAGATAACGGGCAAGCTGTTTCAAGTAAACATTTGCAGGCTATTTCTCTGTCTCTTAGTTTTACTTGTTTTAAGTGATTATAGTATTATAGCTATGAGTAGGTGAAGTATACTGTAAGCTTGTAATAATACACATTTCCTAGAGAAACTTAAAACTTTTTTCTTTGAGTTCTGGGTGAAACAAGGAGTAGTTTAGCAAAACACGTGATGAAAATGAGAGATAGCATATGTACAATGTACGCTAATCGATGGTGTTGGTTGGCTTTTTTCGATACCTAATTATTTTTGTATTCGGTTTTAAGCTGTATGTCTGTTTATAAATATCATGGTGCAACATACCACAGAGTTGAATACTGTTGTAACGGGTTTGCACGTTGAAACCTGTTGCTTTTTTTTAATGTTTGGTAACAATTTCCTTTTATGAGTTGACAGTGGACAATTGATGAATGCATTATAATTATGCAGAAACACTGTTGATTACTAGAGGAGATAGCTAATGGAATCTTGTCATGCAGTAAGATTTAAATATTTATCATAAATTGATGTAGAGAAATTTGCTTGTATAATTTTTGTGACCGATTTGCTTGAAATAATACATTTCTTATGAAAGAGTCACTGATTTAATGGCTTCCAATGAATTAGTATTTTCATCTTATTTTTAGGAAACAGTCTAGTCAGCTTAACCTTTCATCTGTTTAATCTTCATGGACTAATTGAACACTTCCAGTTAGATACGATGAAACTTCGTAGATTTTTGGGTAAATACAGCTTTTTATTATGATGAATATTGCTGTTTATCCGCATTTTTATACCATAAATGAAGCGCTGGTTATAGTTTAGCAATAAGGTTTGAAGAGTACTGATGCAGTCCAGATTGTGCGGTGATTTAAATTTGACAAATTGTCCCAATCAATATAACGTTTCTATGAGTATAGAAATCTTCATGTTAAATCCAAGCAAGTATTAACAAGTTTAATAGTTTCATACCAAGTGCTATATTGTATTTATTAAATCTAAATAATCAGGAATATATGTGACACGGTGCGACATTTTTGTTGGGAAAGGCTCGACAGCTCCTTCCTTTGTTTCGATTTTCAGTTCTGTTTTAATCTTAATTTCTGAAGTTCAGGATAGTTTTCTAACTGTATTTATTATGCCAGTTTCGCCATATTTAATGGAGCCAATTTGATGCTATCTCTTGCTTGCTCAAGCTTTCCTACAAATAAGCACTGTACTGTGGGCATACTTTGTCCATAGACATAGCGCATGTCCATAGACATAGACATTCCTGTGGCGCTGGAATGCTTCAATGGAAAGAATTATAAATATGATGTATTCAAACCAAGTGATACTTTCACTCGACAGCTGAAAGAGCTGTCTTTCTGCATCCCCATAGCATAGACATAGATGCTGGTCTGAGACTTCCTTCAGTTCTTCTGTGACAGTACCTTTTATTTAATTTTGTGGAGTAGGATGCTTTTTTTTAACTGAGCAGGAGAAACAAGTTTCTGGTCCTTTTTAGCAGGCTTTCACAATTTCAGAGAAAACAATTTTGTGGTTACAAAGCTTGTCATTTAATAGGGGAGAAATCACATTTGAAAGGCTTTTCTCCCCTTTCAAGTAAGGGAATGTTTTTTGTTTTCATCATTTAGTTCTCTTTCAGCTTTAAAAAATTTCAGTTTTGTCTTGCATTTCATGTTGGTTTAAAATGGACTCAATTCCTTCCAGTTTCAAAAAGGTAGATCAGCTGACCTTGAGGGCTGATATATTGGAATGTGAAGAAAATTATTATAGAAACATGGTCTTAGGCTACTCAAGTTGTAACTGAGCGTGTTTTGTCTTTCTCATCTTGCCTATTTCCTGGTTAGTTGAGATTTAGCAAAAGACAGTACTTGAAATGAAAGACCAGTTAGGAATGACTGGATTAGTTAAATGGTTATCAAAAGATAACAATAGTCTTAACTACATATGACTACTCAAAGCCATAAGTCATTAAAATACGATACAGATATGGGAGTGTGTGTATATATATTTGTTTATACACATACACAGTCTCTCTGTGACTTCCAAAGGTTATTTGGAGGTCTGTCTCCTCCTGCTGTGTGTTTTCAAGTTCTTACTCCAGACCCAAACAGCGGGAGAGAAAATCCAAAGTACTTTGTTCCTGGAGACATAGCGTGGTTGTGCCATTCTAGTTCTGGCAAACCATGATCAAAATATTGTCCTAGGTCTGCTTTATTAAAATAAGTAAGTTAAGAAAATTGTAGCTGGACCAGCATATGAAGCCACAAAAAAAAATGAGTAGTAAGCTAAAGACATCCTCGTTTATGCACTGGATGTGAGGAATAGGTGAAAGGGAGTTCTACTGCAGGTTAACAAAGATGCTTATTTTCGTTATTTTTCCATATGAGGTGTCAGCAGTGCATTGAATACTCTTGAGATTACACAGTGCCCAAAGATGCTTATTTTCGTTATTTTCCATATGAGGTGTCATGTGTACATTGAATACTCTTGAGATTACACAGTGGTTACAGTACTTTGACTTTTTTGTGAGCCACAGCTCTTCACAAACACCATGGCGGTAATGCTCTAACAGTACGGTCACAATTGCGTGGAGGGTACTGGCTCCTAAACTGAGTAGGAAAAGAGATTGTGGACGTGTTTGTTTGAATGGGACTGACAGACTGGGAGTTAGCCAGGAAAGTGTTCTTTTGAGGTTTGTTTGAAAGAGCTAATGTGTCGTATCAGGCAAAACTCTAGAATATGGTTTCATTGCTGTGCTTCAGATCTTCTCCCTCTCTCTCCTTTTTAACATTATAGTTCTTTTATGCTACGTACTGAAGCTAATGTGGACGTCCTTTAAAGCATTCTACCTATAATGTTTAAAGACAGCCAGGAAGATGGAGGAAAGAGGAGGAAAGCAAGGAAGAAGTTAAATAGGGAATATTTAAATCTAGGAGTGGTTAGTCAGACCATCGCCTAAATGAGATTCTCTTCTAAATTGTATATAGGCTTAAATTTGCCTGAGTACAAGTATGAGAAGATGCCTAAACTATGTAGAGGTGGCTTCCCATGACCACTCACCTGAAGGGGAAAGAAAAGCACTTCATATGACAGGAAAGCAGTGCCTAATTCCTCTGATCCTGTCTGTTTTCAAGGCATGATATGAAGTCATCCTGATGCTTTGGTAAATAGTATCATCTTCGTTTTGTGTTCGAGGTTGCCCCAACGTTCACACAGGCTAGATTAGCAAAGAGCCTTTCCTAGGAAGTTCTCAAAGTCAAAGTATCTGAGATGATATATTGATTTCAAGTTATTTAATTTTTGCTCTGAAATGACTTTACATGTAGTTGATTTCCTTTAGAAAATACTGTTTCTTCACATAAAAATCTTTTATACCTGCGTCTTGCTTCAACTGAAGATTTATTGACTTTGATGCTTTTATGTGTATGTAACTTGTGATATTGCATATTTCTGAGCCTAATAATGACATATAAAATGGTACTTGAAAAAATTGCTACTTTATTTAAATTTGGATATTTGTTATTTTCCTGCAGTTATGGTTCAAGAAGATTATCACAGTCAAAACCCTTATCATAATGCAGTTCATGCTGCTGATGTGACTCAGGCCATGCACTGTTACTTAAAAGAGCCCAAGGTAAGGGAGCGTTCTCACTTTTACATCCCATGTACATATAGAAACACATGCATTTGTGTATGTGCACACACTTCTAATTAAAAACAAACCCCAAAATAAAAAAAAAACACTTCTTGACCACAAAAAGGGGGAGAGGAATCTCCATGTTGCTGAGGCTGTGGGTTCTCGCTTGGCAGTATATGCTTTTCTTTTTTCACTCTTCTGAGTTGGCATTGTCTTTTGTGTGACTTCATGTTGAACTAGAGAGGGAATTGATTAAGATTGCAGCTGTTTAACATAGCGCTGTGCCCCAGGGCATTTACATAGAATCACAGCCTGAGTCAGAGCTGGCAATAATAAACCTGCGTATTCATGGTTTGAGGTGGGTTTTTTTTTTTTTTTGTTTGGTGGCTGTTATTTTTCCTCCAGAAACTACTGTTAACCTTGCTTTGCTCATCTTTGATGTCAGTGAATAGCGTGCTTCTGCTAGAGGCCCCTTCCATATAAGCAAGACATCAGGAGTTCTCTTTGGCGTTTCTCTTTAAAAAAGGGCAGTGTGACAGACCTTACAGAGCTCAGCTAATTCAGTGTTTGTTTCTTGTTACTTGGACTGCTTGCAGCCTGCTGTGAGTGATGTCTTAGACAACTTCAGGGCTAAATCTTGTCCTTCTGTATTAAATTGAAAACAGTAGTGCTCTCTAGCCAGGTGAGAAGTAGTCTACCTTGATGCAGATTGTCACCAATTTGGTACTGTCTTGAGTAGCATTGCTCTTTATTCTGCTTCTGAGGTAAAAACAAGTAAGTTCTGGCTCCGTGGATGTTTTTCAGAGGCTCTTTGCCCACTTTTCCTACTCGGTTTCTCTGCGCTGCTCTCAGATCAATTGTTGGTGCAGTCAGCCAAATCCGAGCTGATACATGATGAGGTTGTTGGGTTTTTTTTTATGGCATGCAGTTTGGAAGCTCTAAGCATTTTTTATTTAATACACGTGATGGAAATTTTGTAATGCTTCGGATACAAGGATAGACTTTGTATTTTTAGTAACATGTGCAGCTACTGGTTCTCTTGCACCAAAGTACATTATAAACATATGAAGCATGATAGAAGGCAAACACAACAGGGAATATAACTTCTGTCCTTGCAGGGTGTTTGCTGCATTTCACTTTTGTGCGAGCAGAACTGCCCTGTCTGTTTTAGTGCAAGCTAGACTTTATTACTGAGTTTAACTCACAAATCTCCCAACCAGAAGTAGTAACAGCTATAAGCAGTGAAAATAAGTCCCTGTGGTTTCATGCTGAGTTAATCAACGTACACATACTTCTTGAAAATATTTATTTTTGGCAGATTTTCCTCCTTCGGTTCTTTTCCTGCTAGACTTTGAAATACAATTTTGTGATAGGGTAGAAATCCATTCTGAACGGTTCTGAAGTCTTCCAGGGAATTAGTTTCTTCATTTTAAGATGAAAAGTTTTTGTGTTTTTTAAAGCAGTTTGTATTTAAAGCAGAATTGACACATACGGACAGACTTGGTAAATGAGATGGAGAGCTAATTTTAAGAATTTGTTGCTTTTACAGGATCCGGTTAGAAATAGTACTTCATTACCAGCCAGAAAGTAGCATTTTGTGTGCCAGCATTTTTTTAAGACTTAACCTTCCATTCAGAGAAAATAATGCTTAAACCATTGTTGAAATTCTGTAGCTTTCATGGGGGGGGGAGAAGTACTGTGAAAAGCCAGTGGAATATTAGTTTTACATTATTAAAAATTTCTCTGACTTTCTATTGGCGTTTAATTACTAAAAGAGAAAAACAAAAATGTGACACCCATGGATTTTTTTTCTAAGGGCATACTTGCATTGCTAACAATTACATTTGTTGTTGTTATCTTACAGCTTTCCAAATCTTTAACTCCATGGGATGTTCTGCTCAGTTTAATAGCAGCTGCCACGCATGATTTGGATCACCCAGGCGTTAACCAACCTTTCCTAATTAAAACAAACCATTACTTAGCAACTTTATATAAGGTAAGGACAAAATAGGTTGTTCTGTTAAAACCAGGTTTGGAGAATGCCTGAGGAGTACAGAAAAGGAATATAAATTGGGATGTGTTTAGCTAGTGGTAGGTTTGAATCTCGACTTTGTCTCCGTGCCACTGGGATAAAAGAATGTGGAAGCTAACAACGTATTCAGGATTTGTGAGTTTTAACATCCTTGGGGGGTAGGGGAGAAAAGAAAAACACCACCCCAAAACCCAGCGAATTGCCTGGTACTGCTGTTAGCATATAGCTCTTCAGTTTTAAGAAAAAGTAATTGATTGATACCTGTAATGCCCTTTTCATTTGCAGAATACCTCAGTATTAGAGAACCATCACTGGAGATCAGCAGTGGGGTTGCTGAGAGAGTCTGGTTTATTTGCACATATGTCGTTAGAAAACAGGTATGTTTAAACAAAATAGTATAGATTAGTTTAAGATGTAAGTAAGCTGTCACTTCAGTAAAACAGCCTTGTGAAACGAGCTAAATTATTGCATGGTGATTCTGAATATAAATCTTAGATTATGATCTATTTTAAGAATTCCCAGAGACCGTGCTGTTGGAGTAGAGCAATTCATGGTGCAATGTGATATTCGGGAAATAACATTTACTGCAAGCACACTGAAGAAGTGTGTTCATATAGTCAAGCACCTGTTTAGATTAAGCTTGGCAGCCTTTCCCATTCTGCCACCACAACTATAGTTTAAAATAGACCCTCTTCACCGACTTTAACAAGAAATAAGCTTTAAACAATTAGTTTGTGCATTGTTAAGGAGAAAAAAGAAAGGGGAGGGGGGGAGCTAAAAACTGTTTTAGGCTTCCTAATAGCTGCCGGTGAAACGTCCTGATATTTCTATGGATGTTGTAGGAATTTTTCGGGGGGGGGAGGGGAAGAATTCAGTGAAAATGCTGATTATAAAGCTTGTGACTTGTATTTATGTAATAATGAATATGATAAAAAGACATATGAATCTAGTGATGGCTGTTGTTCTTAATTTTTACGCTTTTTGAATGTTTGGTATCACTAATTTCAGGCAGCTGATGGAAAGCCAGATAGGTGACCTCATTCTTGCCACAGACATCAGTCAGCAAAATGAATATCTGTCCATGTTTCGATCCCATTTGGATAGAGGAGACCTATGTTTAGAGAATGCGAACCATCGTCACTTCATTTTACAGGTGATCTTTTTGGTAACACTTTTGAAAACATCATTTTAGTGTCAAAACCAATTTACTTTAAATGCTAAATACTACTTCTTCCAAGCTATCTCCTGCTTTCAAAATGAAGCTGAAATAGCTTTTAGTCATTTTGTTTCACAGAATCACAGAATGGTAGTGGTTGGAAGGGACCTTTGGAGATCATCTGGTCCAACCTCCCTGCCAAAGCAGGTTCACCTAGAGCAGGTTGGACAGGAAGGCATCCAGGCAGGTTCTTAATATCTCCAGAGAAAGAGACTCCACCACCTCTCTGGGCAGCCTGTTCCAGTGCTCTGTTACCCTCAAAGTAAAGAAGTTTTTCCTCATGTTGAGATGGAACGTCCTATGTTCCAGCTTGTGCTTGTTGCCCCTTGTTCTGTCACTGGGCACCACTGAAAAGAGCCTGGCCCCATCCTCTTGACATCCTCCCTTTAGATTTTTATAAGCGTTGATGAGATCCCCTCTCAGTCTTCTCTTCTCCAGGCTAAACAGACCCAGGTCTTTCAGCCTTTCCTCATAAGAGAGATGCTGCACTCCATTTGTAGCCCTCTGCTGGACCCTCTCCAGCAGTTCCCTGTCCTTCTTGAACTAGGGGCCCCAGAACTGGACACAGTACTCCAGATGCGGCCTCACCAGGGCAGAATAGAGGGGGAGGATGACCTCCCTCGACCTGCTGGCCACACTCTTATTAATGCATCCCAGGAGACCGCTGACCTTCTTAGCCACAAGGGCACATTGCTGCCTCATGGTCAACTTGTCCACCAGGACTCCCAGGTCCCTCTCTGCAGAGCTGCTTTCCGGCAGCTCAGCCCCTAACCTGTACCGGTGTATGGGGTTATTCCCCCCCAGGTGCAGGACCCTACACTTACCCTTGTTGAATTTCATTAGGTTCTTCTCTGCCCAACTCTCAGGCCTGTCCAGGTCTCGCTGTATGGCGGCACAGCCCTCTGGTGTGTTTCATTACAAAAAGGTTGTTCCATCCACTTCAGTCTCCTGCCCCCCTCCCAGCTCTTCTCCCAGGTGATGTTGTGTGTTGGTAAATCTGCTACCTTAGAGTTGCTAAAGCAAGGAGAGTGGTGTTTCCAAGACAATGTTATGTTCTGATGACTCCAGTGCAGTCTCAGAACTGTGAAATGCTTTGTCAGAACCTGCTGCAGGAAAGGAGAGCACTATTGTTGTGAATCAGTTTGCAGCTGTGCTAGAGAGAGAGAGGTTTAGCAAGCTTTAAAAACAAAAGCCTTGAGAATCTCTTTAGGTGTATAGAAATTTTTATTATTGAGTTCATATTTTGGACTATAAAAGAAAGTGGACAAAGAGGTAAGTTCAGTCCTGTGCAAACCATGATGAAAAATGTGAACTTCAGAGCCAGAAATGCAGAATACTGTTTGCTTACTTTGATGTTTCTTTTTCTGAATTTATTGTTGTCTCCTGTATTAGTTAATATACTAAATATAGTGCCCCTGAAATAGTTTGACTCGACTGAATTTCCATATTACTCAGAGATGATCATGAGATTAGATAGTTCCATGACCATTTTTTAAAAATGATTATAGAACATAAGTTTAGAGAGAAGCGCAAATGGTAGGTAGGTTTGTTATTCACGAAACTTAATCTGCTGTCAGGAAATACATAATTACAGACCCTTCTGTTGGAGGGAAAGGTGATCTAACACTGTATGTTAACTTACTAGATGGCTTTGAAGTGTGCTGATATTTGTAATCCGTGTCGGACGTGGGAGCTGAGTAAGCAGTGGAGCGAAAAAGTAACAGAGGAGTTCTTCCATCAAGGCAAGTAGAAGTATCTGTTGGTACATAATGTATTTATACTGTGGCGAGAGCGACCATGAGTCATAGCTGCTTGCAAATAAAGGGGTTTATATTTAGGACTAATAGAGATTTACAGTACAGTATGGGATTTTGTTACTTGCATGGGCTGTCCTTCTCGCAAAAGGTTCGTGTTACTAAAACCCAGCGAAGAACCTGAACCTGGAATAGCTGGTTCAGTACATCCTTCAGCCTGAAGGGTGCTTCAGGTGAATGATTATCCTCACTTTACATCTACCTAGTCGTTTCAGTAAATTATGAAATCGATTCATCGTGTATCTTCAATATTTAAACTTTGGCTGTGGGGCCTGTTGGTAAGCAGGTGAGAGCTAGGCAGGAGTGTTTTAGTTAGCGTGCAGTTGAGGCTACTTACTTACCGAAGTAGTTAATAAAGCTTTTAATTGGCAAATGGAATGAATTTTCTCCATTATTATTCCATTTAAATAATGAAATAAAGTGCTTCTCCTTTCGTAAGGCTAGTGTAGCTGACTTGAGACATGCTAATTTGTGCATGGCGATGATAAATGGGGAACAGACTGCTTTATTTGGTGCTGATCGTGTGAAGCTTATTCTTAAGGAAAGGTGATGGGGAACCAGAACAACAAATTGCCTTCAGTGAGAAATTTCTGATGGCTAAACTATTCTCTTCCGTATCACTGAGGGGGGATCTTAATTTATCATTTCTGTGGCAGTCTAGGAGGTTTTACAAGGAAGTGTGTGAAACCTTGAGGAAACCTGCGATTTGATGTTTTTTCCTTAATTATTGTTTGATGAAAAATACAAAGTACTGTTAGTCTCACTGGCAGACCTACCTGGGTTTTTTGGGAGATGGAGGGAAGTAAATGCATTTAACCAGCTGCAAGATACCATCCTTGTTAACCAGCTTGCACAACTCATCTTTGTTAGTGTTTGATGATTCCATTTGGCTCTGGACTTGATGACTTAACAGTTGTATTATACTTTTGTTTCTTTAGGAGATATTGAAAAAAAATATCATTTGGGTGTGAGTCCACTTTGTGACCGACAGACGGAAACTATTGCCAACATCCAGATCGGTAACTGCAGTCCAATTTCTTTCCATAGATTTCTTTCAGGATGCAATTTGAAACAAAGTACCTTTTAGACACACTGCCCAGAGGTTGTACCTGCTCTGTGTGTGTGCGTAGTGTTACTTCATTACGAAGTGTGATTTATTTTTATTTTTTTTTCAATTTGCTATGTAACATTTCTTCCTTGAACTGAGTGTTTACGAAAGGTTTACTGACAGTCCGGGAGACCAAAGCCCCCGTGTTTCCTCACGGAGGCGGTACAGCGTGGGAAGCAGCTGTCTGACTGTTCCTGTGCTGCTGCCCAGAACTTTCCCCATCCGACGTGGCCAGGTTGGGAAGAGGAGGAGTGCTCGTCCCTCTTGCCTGTGCGGTCTCGGGTGCCTTTCGCAGCGAGGTTGCCACAGCAGGGATACAGCTCTCTGGGTTTAGCTTTCTGGAATATTAGCATTCCGTTTAAACACAGCCTTGAGAAGGGTGGTGGGCAGACATTTGATGGAGAACGGTGAATAACTATTATTTTTTTCTTTTTTTTTTTTTTGCTGACTTGAGTCGAATTTTAAATAGTACAATAATTTATTTTAGTTATTTTTGAAGTTGCTCATGTAGATTGAATGGGACTCAGTTAAAAACATGGTAAAGAAAAAAAGAAATTTAACCACAATCACAGTATGAAATATTGCTTTAAATTAGAGACAAAACCTGATCTGTTCAATCAGCAGCACTGTTTTAATTTAGAATGTTAGAAAATCGTACGTTTCTGTACTTAACAGACTGGATTTTAGTCATCTTACCATTGAATTTTTTGTTCATGGAAGTCGACACTATAAATAAGCGCACATGTGCATATACACAACCATGTATATAAATGTTTGTGTGTTGATATTTTGTGGCCTTTTTGTTTAAAAACTCCTCTAATTTGTTTTTTTAAGTACTTTTAGTCAGCTTAATATTGTGAAAAGATTCTCCTCCCCCCACCCCCGTAATATAGTTCAGACTGTCTACGAGGTAACTTGTTATAAAATCTTTCTTGTAGAAATTTAGGTTTTCTAAATTAATTTGTGTGACTTAGGTGCTCATGTTTAGATTCCCTCCCTTCCCCCTGCCATGTTCTCTGATGTTCTCCTTCATTTGGTCATCACTGTGAAAGAAAGGAGGTTAATTTGGGTTAATTTGTAATCCAGTATAACACTGTTCTGTTGACTGGTAAAATCTTTTATATTTTGAGAGATTATTTTGTAAAGATGCCCTAAATATTGAAATGGACTTTTAAATGCACATTGGAGACTAGTCAGGCGCATTGTTTATTTTTTGCTACTACATTTTATTTAAAATATTTAGTTTGAGTGTTTTTTGCCTGTTTTTTTTTTATTTGTTTTTTTTTGTTTTTACTTTTCACCTGGATGTGTTTGTTTGCTTGTTTTTGAAGGTTTTATGACCTACTTAGTGGAACCACTGTTCGGGGAATGGGCCCGGTTTTCAAACACCAGGCTGTCGCAGACAATGCTGGGCCACCTGGGACTGAACAAGGCCAGCTGGAAGGGTGTGCAGAGGGAACAGTCTGGCAGCGGTGACGATGTTGACCCCGCTTTTGAAGAAATGGACTCAGACATATTACCTCAGGAACCTCGATTGTCCTGACCTCAATCTTCATGACAAAACTGCCTCTTCTCGTGGTATCTGCGCGGTTGGATTCAAGGAGATACTTGCCAGCCCAAGGTTTTGGTAAAATGGTAAAATGATGCCAGCATTATTTATTTCCAAGTTTTCCTTTGACACAGACCATTTGAAGCAGAATTTTTTTAAACTGCAAGATCTGAACATAGAGCAATATGCACACGCCTCAGTTGGTTTTCGTTCGGAACCTCGAATATGCAAAGCACAGCAGTGACTGAGCCTTGGAGGAACAGTACAAGAACTTCATTGTGCCACATGGCTTTGGGTTGGCTTTTTTTTTGGTGATATTTGGAATACGGTCTTCAAATCTAAGACTTGAGATGGATCGTTCCACTTTCTTGGAATTTAGCAAGACTTGCATAAATGTGTTCAAAGCATACCTTCCACTCAGTCCCTGTTTTAATACGGAAATGTGAAGTGCCCATCCTCTGCTGCCTCTGGCAAGACTTGATGTTTACAAATGTACTCTGAAACTATTGGTTCTAGACTTAACCTTTGCGCATGGCTGTGAAGGAACCACTAACTTGGTTTTTTTGCTTTTTTAAAAGAAAAAGATCAAATCTGAGACTGCAGCTCTTTGTTTCTTTGGATGCCAGAAAAGCCTCCCATTTGCCATAATTTTGTTTGTGCACTGGGAACTGAGCATTCATCATAGAGCACAGCCAAGCTTTACTCCAGTGCTGTATGGGAATGCAATTTTTTAACGGCAGAAAACACTTCTGAATTGGGGAAGGGGAAGGGAAAGGGGTGGGGGTGGGGGGAAGCGTCCGAACTGCATTGCGATTCTGCAGTGGAAACATCGCATGTTGTTTTCACTATTGTACACTTGAACTGCACATGCAAGAAAAAGGTGGAATGTCTAAACACCATAATCAGCTCAGGGTATTTGCCAATCTGAAATAAAGTGGGATGGGAAGCGTGTCCTTCAGAACAAGGGTACAAATGCCCCTTTCGCTGCAGCGTGTGTGTATGTGTGGGTGTGTGAGTATGTTTGGGACTGGGGAGGGCGGGAGGGTACCGGGAAGGGTTTGAACGGCAACATTATTATTTTTTTTTTTTTATTATTTTATTTATTCTTTTAGAATGTGACAATTTTCATGAACAGCCACATTGGGGAGGAAACTGTAACAAATTGCTACAGATGCCTTAAACTATGCACAAAGCTAAGTGACCAAATTTGTTTTTGATTTGAAAAATAATAAAAAAAAAAAGTGCATTGTTTACGTATTCCTCCCTCTACTGAAACATTACCCACTAATGGGGTTTTGATGGAAAAAGGAGAAAATGTTTTTTAGGACAAAATTAAAGGACTAATTTTAAACTTAAAACATTCCATTTTTGTAATTTGTTTTACATTGTTTTAAGTACAGTAAGCACAACTGTAATCTAGTTTGAGAAACTGGTGCTTTCTTTTAGTTCATTTGTATTTCCCTGTTGTTATTGTAAAAGACTGTTTATTAATTCTGTTTACAGTTTGTTGCAACAGCCATTTTTGGGAGAGAGCTTCAGCGTAAAGCCATTTGTAAAGGCTTTGCCATATTCATTTTAATATGTGCCTGTTGCTGTTAACTTTTAATTAATAAAAAAAAAAAATCTTTTCACATTATGCTCCTGTACATTTAAGTTACGACCAAGTCCAGCGTTACGGAAAGATAGCTAAGGTTGCAGTCAGCTTCCACTGTAAAACTCAGCCAACTTTTGGATTTGAAAATAATAGCCCCATCTGCCAAAATTTATTGCCTCTTGGAGCTTGGCCTTTTACAGTTTGAAAAAAAAAACAAATCCTGACTTACCTGATTGTTTCCCTTCTAAAATTAAGTTGTTTATTATTCTTTCATGTTCCCTGAAGCAGTATCATTAATCTCAAAGTGGCCATGTTTAAAGAAATAAATTTATAATGAAACCATTTTTTTGAACCTGCGTGAACTTCCTTCCTTTGCTGTCAGTGCAAGTTCTTGCTGTTGTCTGACTTCAACGGAGAAGGATCAAATGGGATAAAGAGCTTTGGTTGTAACAGAACAGCCTTATTTTAACAGGTTGTTTTTGAAAGGGCGATACTGGGCAGCAGTGTTCGGAGTTGTCGGGACAAAGAGGTAACGGCTGTGTATGAGTAACTTACTACAGAGAGACTGCAGCTACGCTTCCTCACAGCCTGTATGCGTTCACAGGGTTAAGTGTGTGAAAAAGTACTGATTCCTCTTTTACGTTTTTGAGTAAAGCATATTCCAAGCCTGCAGCTATTTTCAAAACAGCCACTAAAATCAGTATCTGGTGATGCCTTCTGTTACTTTTTTTTTTTTTTTTGAAAATGTGACTTGGTTAGAGACGGGGCCTCAACAGCACTCTGAATTTTGCAACTTGTTACAGGCTATTTATAAGCATATTTTAAAATGTAATTATAATGAAAATTAAAATTAATACGTTTACAAATGTGTATATAGCAATATTTCAGTATAATATTTATAAACAACCTGTGAGTTCTTTAACATTGTGCAATCTTGCTGTCCTCTGCTCTGATAGGAACCAGTACAGCTTGTCACGGTGCAAGAGTAAAACATGAGTAGTTTTGTTCTAAGCCACTTTTCCTAGAAAAGGGCTTCTGTCTTTTCCTACCAGACTGGATTTAAAAAGACTGATTCTAATCCCATCTATTAGTGTATGTGGAAGCTTCTGACATTTGACTGAATTTAAAAAACCGAAAAAATCAATGCCTTTTCTTGCACACGCTGCCTAGAAATTCCTAGAGATTTGTATCTACGTGAAACTTCAACATTCCGACAGCTGAAACCCTTCATGTGAGAGCTGAGCTCGCGCACATGGCAGGAGCGTTCCTAATGTGCCACACGTGAGTACAGAGACGTGTTAGGGGATGGAGGTCGGGTACCACCGTAAATTGGGGGCTGCAGCGTTCACTGACACACACACAGGGACAGACACAAACAGACCTCGGGTTACGTCAAAGGTCTCTGCCCCGTGTGTGAATGTCCTTCGTTTGAGCACTTCTGCTTGAGGTGTTTTTCTGTGGGCAGTGGCATTGTGCATGTGAAAGATTTCAAGTAGAAAGATACAAATTAAGGTACAGAAAAGCATGAAATAAATTATTTGATGGCAGCTTTGTGATTTTATTTTCTTCTGCAGATGACCTTTCTTTTACCTTGATTTTATGTCACTAATAAGGCTCGCCACATGTTTTTGTATTTCTGGGGTGTTGGATACCTGCACCTCACATCAGCAGTCCAGACCGATGATGTCTGGTGCAGGTTTTTCTCCTGTTTTAGCCTATGTTAATAGGTCAAGCAGTGTCCTAAATTTTACAAGTTAATGATTTGACTGAGTTACTTCAGTTAAACTCTGATGTTTAAAATAATGTAAATTGAAACACTGTCAACAGAGGTTTTGTCTCTGAAAGAAGAAAAACTTCAGCAGTTCTGAAGCTGTGGCCCTTTGGGAGTGGGATGGTTGTGCCACGCCAAGGGACTGTCGGGGGAACCCCGTGTACCAGGGCATGGAGAGACGGTTAAACGAGTTTGTGGTGAGGCATAAACTTGTTCTTGTTACTAGTTCCTGATCATTATTTTCTTTTTCTTATCTAAATGAAACTGAATTAACAGTGTTAATTAATTAACAGTGTTCTAGGACTACTTCTGCTATTATTCCCCTTGCGCAGCAAGGTAAGTAGTCCAGTCCTGAAGGAGATGTGAGTATATAGTCACTACAATAGAATGTAAACTATATTTTATTGTGGCTGCTATTGTTTGTAGAGTACCACAAATCACATAGGCAATGTTTATTTTAACTGCTTTTAATCTTATATAGTGGCAACAGAGCATTAAATACAAAACTTGAAACCGAAATTAGCTTTCAGAAAGGTGTTTTAAAGGCATTTAAAAGAACACAAAGATTTAATGGCCTATCAGTAAGACTGATGGCAGAGCGTTTTGGAAGGAAGTTACATTGTGTACATAATAACACCATTTCAAGTTTCACACCAGAAAACATCCTCCTTGATTGTAAAATCTACACTCCAGTTACAAGCAGCAAAGCTTCAGTCGTCTTCAGTAACCTAGTCAGAGCCATTCAGCTGTCTTGATTTATTTAGGAAGTGCTGCTGTTTTCTAGGAAGAGAAAACAGCAGCTCCAAGAGGCACTTGCACTTGTTCCAGCAGCCAGACCAACTCCGAACACTGAAATACCCAGACTCAGCTTTTTCTACGCTCATCTACAGCCAGAGCAAAGCCTGGCTTCGTTGAAGTGTGCAGCTGAGTTGTAGCTCTCTGGTTCCTAAACAGCTTTTTTTCAACCTGAATTTTATTTTTAGCTTGGGCCCTTTCTACATCTGTGGCTGGGGACACGAGCTCAGGTGGTGGGTTAATGAACTAGCTCTGTACAGGTCTGGCAGCAAATAGCTGCTATGGGAAGTTCCCAGAAGGGCTCTCCCTGGAAAACAGGTTACGTGCAACAGCTTATACCATCTCTTCCCTGCAAATAGAAGCATGGGGGCTTGTGGGGTCCCCAGCTGCTAGAAACCTATCCAGGGACCCAAGACCGCTGGGGATAAAAAGGTGTCCATGAGCATCTCTTTGCACAGCTGAGATGAGCAATATATTTTTGGCAACTTGCACCCCACGGTACTTTGCAGCTTTTTTTCTTGTCTACACCACTTCTACACTAATTAACACATACTCTGACATTAAGTATTTTACTCTGCTGCTGTCTACTGGTTACTTCAAATTCATTGGACTACCTATTTATTCACAGAGGCCCCCAGAGCGTGATTGACTCACTTGTCATGCAGTCTACATTGGCCACAGGATGACACAAGTAGGTTTTCTCTCTCACCCTTGCAAGCTCATTTGAAACAAACAAACCCTGCACAAAAATGTGCTACTACTAAAAATGTCTCATACCGGGTGACCCCTGCAGCAGATTTAAGTTCTCACTTTCTTTCAGTAGGAAGCAGAATGCACTCAGGTGTTCTTTGGGCTAAAAATTTGCTAAAATTAAGTTTAAAAGAAAGACTTCGACATGAAAAATTCAGTATCAAATTAAACATTGTAGTGCAAGTTACAGTTAGAGCTCCGATAACTGATATTAACTTAAGGGTGTATCGCTATCGTTATTAACAGGTACACAAATTTTTAAGGTGGTCAGTTATGCACAAAGAATGTTGTAAATATAACTTAGTGTTAATAAACTAAAACCACCACATAAGTCTGAGTAGAAAGCCAGGTTTGAATACAAAATTAATACCTGAGTATAATGGTAAAATTTATTCCCCTTGATAAATCACATACAAACATGTTTAGTGCCTCAGTTCTACGTTTCACATTAGGTTTTTTCCCCGTGTTGTTAAGAGACCACTCAGTACTAGTGGTATTTGCAACATAGAAGATTTCAAACAAAACAGCTCAACAGTCTTTCGTGTAGTGATCTTAATACGTTAAGATTTTTCAATTAAAGTCTTCATTTTTCCTGTAGACTTCAGCATGTGCGGTCCAAACTGAGGAGGAAACCAGAAACACATTCAGGTTGCTTTCAACAGAAACCTAGGTCAACTATTACGCATCCGAGTTGTAAGTAAAACTAGAACTTGGGCAGAGAGAATTTCCTTTGTCAACCTCCTGCTTTGCTTGTGGATTTCACCTACTTCATAACCATAAAGTAAAGGGAAACTTGTGTCAGCAATCAGCTGAAATTGCTCGGATGAGGCAGCTAACCACCTGCTGGAGCAGCTCTGACTAGAGAGAGTTCACTCTACCACAGCAAAATAAGACGACAGATGCAGTTACCTGCATCCAATACAAGCAATTGCTCGAGAGGCAGTCTAACAGTATTTCTATTCTTACTCTATCCTGCATTCTTGTGCAAGTCCTTTTAAAAAACTGTACCATACAAGGATATCATCCGAGCAACGATCTAGCAAAGAAGTTACATATTCATAAGTAATTAATGATAGATGTCTATTAGCTCATTATGCATTACAGCCCAACATTCTGTCATTTAGCAAATTAAAGCCTTCAATTTTCTTAGCTTTTGAGGACTTGATGATCCTTAATCTCCAAAGATGGACTGTAAATTTCAAAACTGGAAAGTCACGAAAAACCTATGTGTGAATAAAACATTGCCAACTCATGTTCTTTTCCTTAAAGTCCCAGAAATGCTGAGAAAAGAGTGACTGATTCTTGGGGAATATCTAGCCATGTAGGTACGAAGAACAGTCTGAACATTACAGGAGTATACCTTAAAGGCCTAAACTAGAAGGCAAGTAAGGCAATGTTAATAAGCTGAAGTACTCAGAAGACCTGAGATTTGTGGCTTGGGAATCTTCTTTTCCTCAGAACTTAATTCAGAGTGCAGCCAGCTTTTGCAGTTCTATGTGTGTTTTTTTAAGTGTACAAAGGGAAAAATAACTCTTTACTCTTCCTCTCTGGTGCTATAGCACAAGGCTTCAAGGATTGTTTACTAACAGAACTTAGCTATACTAGCCTCTTTTTTAAGTAAGTGTATATTGCTAGAAACTTGCACCTTCAACATTCACTGCTTAAAATCCCCTTCCTTCAAATTCAAATCAAGCTGAAATAAACTAGAAGCCATTAACTTGCATCATAGTGTGGATTTTAAATATAACTTCATTTTAACATTCTCGCACTATAAAGAAACTGGTTTCATTTACTCAGCATTTCCAATTATTAGAGAAAACACCCTATACCAAGATCCAGCAGGCATTCTGAACAATTAGCTTTCTGCATTCCTCGGAATGGCTAACATGTTTCAGGATCTTGCTTCAAAATTTCACGTGCACTATCTGAGTGGTTAAGGTTAGTTAATAACAGGCAAACTCAGTTCAGATTTGATTCTGATATGAGCCCTTAAGAATCGAGTTTTCAGAACATCTCATGCTTATGGCAACAGAAAAGATTTTTGTTTCAAAAAAAAACCCCAAAAAACTATAACAGGGCTTTTAAAACGTGGGCCAAGAGAGTACATAATCTTAAAACTTGATACTAAAATCCTGGCCTATCTGCAGTACTTCATAGGGTTTTGTGGGCAGGGATGCTAACTCGTAGGTATTTGCATATGTTGGCAGAAAGACATACACTGGCTTTCACAACAACAACTATAATTTAGTCCAAGCATGTGTTCAGAATCACAATACTCACCAGCACTACCTCAGTCTTTGTCTTTGTTTCAGTCTTTGGAATCACTTTTTCTGTTTCACTTTGGCTGTCGCTTCGGTATCGATAAGCAAATTTCTTCTTGAGTGCTTCTGCTATTAATGCTGCTGGATCTGTAGGGTCAGCCGCTTTAGATTTTGTACCTTCTGATGATCTAGAAAAGAAAATGAGAAGTATTAACAGAGTCCAAAACAAAGCTTCAGGAGTTGTGAATGCTTTTGCATTGTTTGTCAGATGTTACATCAGCATCTGTCTCACCTTGAAATAGTTCTGAGTCATTAAAACAAATCATTAATGCAAATGCTAATACATTGATATTTATTTATATTTATTACCTTTTCACTGAGCGTAGTTTCACACTGTTCATGTCTTTGAGGATTTCTAGCATGTTTGGTATTTCAGACTTCTTTGGCCCATTTTCTGTCAGATTCTGTCCAGAGTTCGTTTTTTTGTTTTTCCTTTCTTTAATGAGCTCAATTGCAGACATACTCGCTGGTAGACCTGGGGGAGGGAGTGGTGGCGGAGGAGGAGGTGGTGGTGGTGGAGGTGCAACAGGGACAGGAGCTGCAGCAACTGGGCTTGACCCAACTAGAAATAAAACACGCATTACGTGTCAGTTTACTTGTAAATCCCCTGTATATTTCACAAATGCTCAGGGAAGAATATGACTACACTAGCTTCACTTGCTTTCCCTCTGTCTTCCTTAGATTATAGTATAATTTTTTCATTCCTAAACCACCTAAGTTGACTCAACTGAAAAGCCACATAAAAATCCTTCTCGGAAGAGTGAGAAGCATTCTTTGAATTTCTAGTTCAAGTTCTAGGAGCATTCATGTCCCTGCTGCCATGGGATGGATGTCGTGATGTCTTTTAGTTGTGTTCTGCTCCTAATGTTACCAGCATTTCACTTTCTTCCGAGAGGCAGGCACTGAGCTGGAAGTTGCATACAATCTGCCATGTGAGCAGTGTTTCTTCCTACTTATCACAAATGAGAAATTACACTGCAAGATTTTGAAATGTGAATTTGAGCTCAAGTAGTGCTTAAGTTGAAGCTTATTCCAGCTCGCTGAGGTTAAGGATTTTTAGGCCAGCTACTCATCTGTCTGAAGACAGAGATTTTCACGATAATCTTGATTTCAAGTTCCCTGTACTCTTTACCTAAAAATTGACGTTATAAATATAACAGCAGTAATAACTTGACAAGTAAATGAAGAAACCTCTGCTCAAATGCACCTTTAAGGAAATCAACAAAACCAGATCAAACCAAAGCTTTGAGGCTTGGAGGATAAAGTGTGTAAAAGATATGTATATAGATAATCCAGAGGACTGTGTACATGTAGACATACAGTGTCGTTACCATACTCTACCAGAAGAGGGAGGTAAAGATGAGAAAATAAAAATTTAATTTTCCGAATAAATAGAGGTAAAGGGACAACGATGAAAAGTAAGTTAATTATTTCACAACCCCCCCACAATAATTACAATTCAAGAGTGAAACCATGTGATCCTTAAAACCATATCATAGTTTTAAATAGGAATAGTTAAGGAAAAATAAAGTAACTGCTCTCAGTTTGCAGACAAAAACTAAACTAGAGCATCTGAAGAATCAGAGTATGATTTTATACGTAAACTAAGGCAAAACCGTACTTGTTAAGTAACCTTGGGAAAGAATGAAAACTGAATGGCTGTCATTTGCAGTCGACAAGGGCCATCTCCCACTAATCTTTGGAGATGGCAAACTTAAAACTAGAAGGCAGTCAGAAGTGAGAGAAAGAGAATAAAAAAACCTCAGGAAAATCAGAATTATTCTGTTCATTACCAGAAGCAGTGCACCACTTTGGGGTCCATCTGGACAATGTGTCTGATCCCAGAGATGATTCCAGGAAACAATCTCCTTTACTGTTATTTATTTCATAAATTTGAGATGTATATTACGTATCCCAAAAGTATAATTAGCATATTGTATGATTACTTCGTTATATGAGAGCGCTTATTTCATTACTGGATGAGAAGACTTCGGTGTTAGTAATTAAGTTACATGCTTTTAGTTTGGTTTAAGCCATTGTGTTTATCATAAGCTTTGCTCTGAAAGCTGTTTAATACTTTACTCATCTACAGATTCAGAATTCTGGCAGACTTTCACACAAACATGAAGACTTTTGGAATACTAGAAAATACAGAAAATCTGGCATGTCTGTTGTCTTCAAGACCTATTCTGTATCCCTTGGTTAGCGTCCCTGTCTACCAAACTAACCAAAACAATACAGAGAAGTGTTCAGCGTTACAGTACCTCACAAAAACGAATTAGCACATTATTAATTATAAAAGGGACAAATTTGTTAACTAATTTTTTGCTAAGAGTACAGCAAATTTAATACCTGCTGTCAAGTTCTGTTGTTCTTGCAAGATTACAATTTTGGCTATTTGTGCTCTTAAAGTAGCTAGTTCATTTTCTAGAGCACTGATCTTCTGCAGAGCTTCTTCATTTGCGATCGCTGTGTTCCTGGACACTGGTTCTTCTTCCAATGGGTTTTGTAAGGACATCTGTCTGCATGGGGACTTTCCAGAATGATGTAGATCACCTGAAAGAGGCTGGGCTGGTTTTGACCAAACTTCTGACCTAGAACAAAAATATCACAAGATTACTTTTTTAAAGACTTTGTAATAGATAAAAAATTAGCACAACATTACATACAAACCAGGAATACAAGTTGAAGGCCTGACTTCAAAATTGTCTTTACACAAATCACTTCCACTAAGACATTATATAGCTTAAAGTAAGAGCTTCACATTCTTTCTGTTTGCATCACTAGCAGCATTTCTTCTCTTTCTCTAGCCAGCTTTTTGTGGAATCCTTGATTTTGGGAGAAAAACAAAATACATTCCCCTTCACCCCCAATCTATTTCTCTGCCTCATAGTTTATTTTCTGTTGGAATTGAGATTTAAATTTTATTTTGCCCAAATGCTACCATTTTTCCCCCTTAGGCTGCAAATAGTTACTTGTAAGTTGATTCCTTTGAAGAAGAAGGAAGAGTTTTTTAGTTCCCCAGCATATTTTTCTACTTTTTGGACTTCTGAAGGGACAGCCCTCTATTTTAGCAGTGTTGGGAGTACAGAGTACATGAAACAGCTTAGTGACACAGAGGCTGCTTATCAGTAAATGTATTTACATATAAATATATAGTTTTCTAACACAGTAAATAAAACTATAGAGAAGAAAAGTTCACACAGTTTTAAAAGAGTCCATAAGCTCCCTCCTTTTTCTCACAAGAGCAAGAAATGCAACTCTGTTGCCTTCCTTTATTACCCATCAAAGCTCAAGCTACGTTAAGCACTGAGGCATTACTAAGCATCTGCACTCCAATAAGCACTGACAAAATGTTGTATTCACTGAAACACCAACATTTTTAGTTTATCTCAAGTATTTGAGCAACCTGATCTAGTTGAAGATGTCCCTGCTTGTTGCAGGGGAGGTTGGACTAGATGACCTTTAAAGGTCCCTTTCAACCTAAACCATTCTATGATTCTGTAAGTAAACTTGATAAGAATTAATGACAACAGATTATCATAAACATTGGAACTGTAAAATATGACCACATACTTAACTCCTCAGTCCTCCTTAACTTCAATCACAAAACTTCTCAGGCGGGTTAGGTGTCCGTTATTTATTCAAACATGAGAGTAAGAACAGTGGCTAGTGATTTGACTTTTCAAAACGTGTAGAATGGGTCCAGACTGATACAGCTTAAGAGCCCCATCGCTTTGGATGCATGGGGTAAGCTACTCTGGATACACAACCTGCAGTTGTGCTAGGCTTAAAGCAAGAGCCAAGATTTAGGGGTAGAACAAGCCTTGTGCTCTGACCACCTCAATCTGGGATTAGATACGCATTTGAGCCTTCTACAACACTGACAGAAAACATCAGCACAACTTGCAGAAATTTGATCAAGCACAATTGAATATTATCAAGGATGTTAAAATTTAGATAGGAATAGAGAACAACTAAAGCTGAGAAGAGAACAGGATGCTTCCTATAGCAGCCATCTCCCTAAATATGTAAAGTGGAAGGAGCCCGTGGTCATTTCAGTCTTTAAAACCTGCCTTCTAGAGATTCTTTAAGGGAGCAGAATAGCTAAATAACAAAGGGTATTTTCCACTCAGAGCAGTAATGATGTCTTAAGGAACTGTCTTGATTGGAATATAACACTGTGGAAAAATATGCCTGATTTGTTACTACTGCTCTGACTGGGGGTAGGGGAAAAATGATTTGTCGTTTAGTTGCCGCCTCTATAAAACTGCATTCGCAGAAGAAACAACTATGTCTGCAAGACTGTTTACTGAAGTAAGTATACAGTGAATGTGTATTTATCAGTAACACCTACGTGATCTTGTTGAAACAGAGAACTTCAAATGTCTGGAAAACACCTAATGCATACTAGCTCCACTACATGATACTGTGCACAGATGTAATAAATGGCGCACACGGAAATAATCATATTTGCTAAGTAATTCACTTACCATGCTCCATTATAAGCTGTTTGCCTTAAGGTCACTATATATCTGCAGGATTATTTTAGTCCCATCCCACATCCATCTGTCCCCCTTCCCCACTTCACATGCAGAAGTCTCAGCGCGTATGCAAGTCCTACATCTTTCATAATAGGTTCTTTGAAGCACCAAAGAGCTATTCTCCCTGTTGTCTCCATTAAACATAATAGCTTTACAGTTCAATCCTTAAACAAAATGTTTCTGCGCAAGCAAAAGTACTATTGGCCAGTTAATTTCCTTCACATCAAATAGACTTTACAAATAGTGTTTCCCAAACAAACATAGATTTCTGTGACTCCCCTCTGAGTTTGTGAAATTAATGTGGCAGTGCCAGAATGTTTGTTATGCAAAGCTTCACTGTGGCGAGTCATGTTGGAGGGCATCGAGGTCATTGCTAACCTATTCCATGCTTTCAAATTAAGAACAGTATCCTTCAGTAATCTCTGAAGCCAACAATCTGTGCCTTTCTCTGGAAGGTTAGTTTGCTTAGAAGAAAAGCTTCCTCTGCACTACAGAACTGTACCTTTGTTTCTGGCTAGTCTGAGCAGCAATTTGGGTAGGCTGGAATAGAGAACTTCATCACTTCAGCCAACCTGTTTCACACAGCTACAGTGCTATGTAGTATTCTTGGTCCAACACAACAGTACCTATCCCATCATTCTGGACACAGGTGCTCACATACTTCCCTGCCAGTTTTCATTACGAAGATTAAAGATTAAATATAAACCAGAATTTGTAATTTGTCTTTAGCAGACCGCAGAGCCTTAACCAGGAAGGTGAAAAACAATGTGCCAATTATTGGATTGTCAGAATGACCATAGCTGCTAATCAGGAAGCTGTACAGTACACCGCCCCATATTGATGAAAATCTCAGAACTGAAGAATCAGAGTATGCGGTTGTGCCATACCACACCAGACACTTCTGTGGGGACAAGGTTGCTTGAAGCTGTCACATGCAATTCTTTGCAATAATTAAATAAAAAAACCCCACAGTCTTCCTTGTATAAAGCCAATCTCCTATATGTTCTCAAACCAGTCTTTCATTCATAATCCTGTTAGTCTAACCTCTGCTCCTTCTTTTCCAGACCCTACCTTTTCTGTCACTCTTCCCTCTCTCTTCTCCCACCATTCAAGTGCTCTCCATTAATTGCAATACACAGTAGATGCTCGCTGGAGAGAAGCTAGGCTGCTTCCTCTCAGTTCAGAAGTTCAAAAAGAAGATTTGAGGAGCATACCTGAGCCTTGTAGAGACTTCACCTTCTTCTTGAGCAACCCACCCCACATCTGCAAAGGAAGCCACTGCATCTTCTCTAAGTTGATGAGGATGATTTCCTTCTATGGCATGAGAAGTAAGCTAAATTTCAAAGACAAGATTGAAGGTTTTAGAGTCACTATTCCCAGCCCAAGTCACAGTTATTTTACCCAATACTTTTAGCGAGGCTACATGTAACTATTAACACATACATGCACAAAACACATCTGTAGACTTAGCACACTGATTTCGGTTCTGGGCTGGGTCCAGAACCATTTCACCAACTTCAAACTATTCAATCTAGTCTGCTGAACATTTTACAGAGGTTCACAGCTAACTACATATACTATCACATAACGTTACTGAACACTAAAAATCCAATGCAAACAAACATCAACATTCTCAAGTGTTTGCTAACTCAAATAACGTTGTTAAATTATATTCATGATGAGAAGTTAAAAGAGACATTAAGGCTACTGGTACTTTTAAAGTCTTTTGCTCTGATTTAATATTATTTTGCAAGTGAAATTCTGAAGCACGTTTGCCTTCCCCTACAACTTCCAGAATTTCTGTGCAAGAATAAAGGTGTGTACATTACATGGGGGGGGCGGGACCAAAGAGCCATTTCTATTAGCTTAGTAACCACAAAGACTTTGAGTGAGAGGTAGGATGCAATCATAACAGAAAATGTTTTTGCTAACAATCTTATTTACAGCACGCCAAACAAATTGACCACTTTCCAGCATGGTTCTGCCATTAGCTTTATAGCTGTTTGAAGCCAAAGGTGAGCCAGGCTCCAGAGACTGGAAGCTTTCTTAGATTTACAATTAAGTGACCTGAGGGGAGATTTGAAAAATTGTTTGGACCATCAACACATGCTCCATAGCCAGAACTATGGTTCCAAATCTACTTTGAAATACTGGCTGCTTCCCTGGGTTAGACGAGGGCACGTGTACTTAGTCACTGGACTGAGCAGCCTGGTATCTTAGCAAATAAAAATTACAGATCTTTCAGTAACTTCTGCTCAGTCTGTCACCTTGAGTTACTTATTTCCAATGCAACTATGCCACCTCTTTTGCTTGCATTACATACAATCCACAGGGCAAATTTGCACGATTCATTGCCGCTGTTTAAGTCCTGCTGGCTGCTGGGAGTGGCCAAGAAGCTAGTAATGCTGACAAAGATGGTGGTAGTATGTAAGAGTCTGAGAAGACAGTTTGGATCCAGCCTGTTGGCACTTAGGTCAATTTTCAAGGCAACTCACCTCTGTAAGAGGAAACTATTATGTAGCAGCAACTATGAAATGTTAGCATTAACCTGCGTTTGTAGCAGACCTATCACAGTAGGACTGCAGTCTGGATGGGGTAAAATAATTTCTGAAGAACATTCATAGATATTTTCATTGTAGCCTTTGATACGCACGTCCCAGGAAGATAGAAGTTGTGGGTTTGGGGTTGTTTTTTCCCCAGGAGTTGTTACAAACAGCTTTGGAAATTGAGATTAGTCATCTTCACCTCACACTCTCGCAACTTGTATGTGAGCCTTTATCACAGCTCCCAGGAGTGTGTATTGGCACCATCAGATCATTTGGAAACAACAGGGTTTTTTCCAGGTAGCATCAGCACAGATGGTAATATGTTTATCACATTAACAGTTGTGCCTAATACCATCACAGTCTGCCTCTCTTTAAAACAGTCTAGAAGAATACTATATTGCATGTTAGGATTTTCATTGTTTGAGGTTTCCTTAGCTTTTTTCTTTTTTATATTAAAAAGAGATTTTCATGATCACAGCATCTGTATTAGTGTTAACAGCAATTTAAAAAATCCGTAATACATTAGCCACTTCTTGCAGGTGATACAGATTTTCCTGATGGTAACGGCCACACAAGGAACTATTACCATGAAAAGACTGGAGACACATTTAAATAAAGGCACTACACATACTTGCATCAAAAATAATTTTATAGATCAACAGTAAGGAATGCATTTACTACAGCCAGGTTTCCTGTACTGTGAGATAAATAACTTCTAATCCAACATTTAGTAGCAAGCCTTCTGTTATACTGTGATGTAAGTTTCTTCTTACTTTTTTATTCGTATTTATACATAAACAGAATCTGCTTGTTACCGCATATACAGATGTTTCTTTTCTCTATCCCTAAAAACAACAAGGCCTTCCACAGCAGTGGATTTTGAATTTGAAGTTAATGCAAGATTTTTACTTTAATGTAAAGGTTAAAAGCCAATACCCATCTCTTAAAACCTTTGCCTGTCTGTAGAATGATGCTTAAACAACTCTGTGACTACTCTATTCCTCCAGCCAATCTCAGCTGAAGAAAACCTGAAAACTACTCTGCCAGCACCTGAAATGGGTAACACAGAGCTGAAAACAGAGGTCCAGTTTTGCTGGGTGGCCGGAACTGAATGAAACAATGGAAGTAGCCTGCTTTTCTTTCTCTGGAAACTAGGTAGTTGCTTTCCCTGCTGCCTCCTTCACGGGCTTTTTTGCCTATTTTAGTGTGCATGTATGCTGCGCACACACACACATGCCTGTGCGTTTCAGTCCCATTATTCTGCGAATTCCTGAAGAAAAGACTACACATGCTATACTGTTTTGGCTGATGTCATGAAATATCTCGAGTTGGAAGAGACCCATAAAGAATCACTGAGTCCAACTCCCAAGGAGTCAACCTTGCCAATGTTTCCACCCAATTTTGAACCAGGGACCTTTCACGTGTTAGGCAAACGTGATAACCTCTACACTACAGAAACGCTGCACAGAAGGATGTCAAAGCAGGACTCCTACTTTTTGTTCGCTCCAAGAAGTGGAAAGTAGAACAAATGTTTTTATATATTTAAGGATAGATTAAAAACTCTAATTTCAAATTACTAATACAGTTAGATAGCACACATTTGGAAATACTTCTTCAAGTAAGACAAACTTGCTATGATTTTTTCAAATTATACCAGTAAATTCTGATGTTTGCTACATGCACACCAATTCCTTAGGAAACTTGTACCGAGTTATCAGGTTTCCATCAGACAAACAGAAGCATGGGACTAGAACATAGATGCTGTAGCTGAAGGATACGATCTTGAGAGACAGTATTGCAGGTTTGGTTGAATCTACCTAGGCTATATTGGTAAGTTTAACTTTATTTTCTCCTAAAGACTACAGATAAACCTAAAAAATATGACATACAAAAGAACTATATGAACCACTTTCATTTGCTCATGCCATATAGAGTATAGAAGGTAAGCTCTGCCATAACTTACTGAACACAAAAGCAGCATTTAGCAATTAATCTAAATATTGACTATAGCAAGATCCATGGAGACAGATATTATAACAGTAGCCCTCAAAAATTAAAATGTTAGGCTGCTACTCTTTTTTCAGATTAGCTGAACAAAAGCATGCTAGAAGAGAAGAAAGAATGAAAATAGCAGAGAGATTCTTTCAATATCTCTTATCCATTTATGATAAGGAAAATTAAGACCTGTGGAAATTATGTTGCTCTTAGATAAAGTTAGAAACACTGATGATATACATGCACCCTCAGACGAGGCAAGTAAGGTTTGCTTTGGTTTTTAAATAAAGTGACTTACAGCAAGGTTCAGTGCATGGTCCTTTCATAATATAGCTAAAGCTGGCAAGAAAGAAAGAGGAAGAAACAGCTATAGGAAAGCGTCAGTTGCAACAGCATAAAAACGATTGAGACCAGTATTGAACTTCACTATAGAATCTTAACACTGAGATAAAGACATAAAAAACAGATGTTAGCATCACACTTTTACATGTTCAGCAGTTTATATATTAAAATGCACAAACCATATATATTTTTATGTGTTTCAAGGCTCAAATTTTTCAATTCATGTTTCTAATTCAATCAACTGACAATTGTACTTCTATTTTTAGAATCCTTTCATTTCATCTAATAAAAGATGAATGTTCATACTTACTGTGCACAAAATCTATGCAAAGCTGACTGAATATCTCTTTAAGAGGAAAAAAGGCAAATATTTTATTTATTCTAACACGGAATTCAGACGAAGACATATACATATTTTCATTTCAACACTAAAAATATTCAGGAACAGATTCCCCAGATGTATCTTACAGCTCTTTGCAAGAACATAAACCAGAAATGTCTTCTTTTATGAACCATATTAAGAGAAGGCAGCATTTGGCTAACTATGTGCGAATAAGCATCATGGCCTTTACAGTACAGAAAATCGGACACATTATAGGAGGACTTCACTTCCTTTCAAATCTTCCTTTCAGAGCCTTTTGCTAGCATAATTACTATTAATTATATATCCAAAAGTTTATACCCATGTCATTTTGTTGTCCTTCTCATCTGCACAAATCTCTACCCCCACATATATTTATTTTTTAAGTTTCACCAAGCCACTAGTAGCGGGAGATGGTTGCCCCCCCTAGTTTCTCAGTGTAATTATTTAAGAGAGGCAAAATTTTAGCACGGCTTTTACTATCACACCAAAAAGGCTTCTATGGTAATATGAACTATCTGATTTTAGTACTGTAATTTCAAATCTAAATATTGTTCATATATTTAATACAGGATAAAGAAATTAATTTAAACAGTGAAAAATTTAGTTGCGTGGAAATTACCTTGTCTTAGCGTGCGTGATGATTCCCACCATTCATCTTTAGGTTCCCCACCCTTGCTCGGCCCAAGAGACACTCCTCCCTCAGCCTGAGTTTCAAACACTAGATTTCTCCAATCTATATCCACCCCCTATCCCTAACACACACAGAGTTGGAGATTATGTGTAACAGCTTTCATTTTCCCATCTGTTCCTGAAAGGTTTGTTATAAAAAGCCAGGGTTTTCTCCTCCTTAAGTTTTTATCCTCACTCTTTACCCTCCCGCTATATGCAGCTGAAGTTAAAAGCAAACAAGTCAGAAAGCTGCAGAGAATTGATGTTCCCCTTTCACCTATACAGTGCTAGCCTTGTATTTAACACAAAAGCAAACAGGGTACTCACGTTATCTTGTTACCAATTTTTTACTTTCTGATAAAGTTGTTTATTTTCTCAAATATTTTTAAGTAACACTGTTCGTCTTTACACGCCTCTTAAGCCAGGTTTGTAAGTACTGTTTATAGAAATAAGTTTCAAACATTTTTCTCTTTTATGAATGTATTTTTTCCAATACTAACTTTTTTATACTGTATTCCCTCATTTTAGAAGTTCCAATTTCCTTAGGAAAAAAAAATTGTTTCAAGTTTCATTATGAGTGTTACAGCAACATGGATTCAGGTTTTAGGCAGTACAGAAACTGAAGAATCCACATTTGGAAAAGATCTGAACTGGAAGTGAGAAGAACTGAAGTAAGCCAATTCTCCTATGTGCCCAGTTTATCATATTCTGCTTTCACAAACCCTCTAGTCATTTATTTAAGTGAACTGCATGTTTACTTAAGATCATTTGATGCAAGAGCAAATCCCTTTATCTGTATAGCAAAACACATATTCTAAACTGTTGAGAACACCTACCTGAAACTGAACTCTTGGACACTGTATAAGAGAGAGGTTAGTACCAATTTTTCTTACAATACTTCGAGATGAACCATAAGGCTTGCTTGACCAAAGCACCTAGATGGAAAGGAAAAAGAAGCCAGCTGTTAGGCAACTGATTTTTATATCATATTGGAATAGTTTTCCCTTATCCTTCCACATTATGCTTGTGCTAAACATACTTAAAGTTATTCCTTTCACATTAGAATAGAATAGTATATATATACACCGAAATTTGTACCAGTGAACTCCTTACATTCTATAGCCAAATTGGCATAAAATGTTTTTGTCATTACAATATAGCTATGGCTGTTTAAGTTCAAGACAGTCCTTGCATTAAGTTTAAATACAAAGCAATAGATGAGTTAACACAGAAACCTTTGAGAGTTGGAAGCACCTTCAAAAGCACAATTTGTCCATTTTCAAGCCAATAAAGAATCTGCATTGGGTCAGACACCTCTTTTTAAGGGGTTTCAAGAAAAGCCACTCAATCATGAATAATTCATAAAGTTATATAATTCTACATTTCCCAAAATAGATAGACTGTACCATCAGCAAGTTTGCTGATGACACAAAACTGGGAGGGGTGGCTGACACGCCAGAAGGCTGTGCTGCCTTACAGCGTGACCTCGCCAGGCTGGAGAGTTGGGCAGAAAGAAACCTTATGAAGTTCAACAAGGGTAAGTGTAGGGTACTGCACCTGGGGAGGAATAACCCCATGCACCAGTACAGGTTGGGGGCTGACCTCCTGGAGAGCAGCTCTGTGGAGAGGGACCTGGGAGTCCTGGTGGACAACAGGATGACCATGAGCCAGCAATGTGCCCTGGCGGCCAAGAAGGCGAATGGCATCCTGGGGTGCATCAAGAAGAGTGTGGCCAGCAGGTCGAGGGAGGTCATCCTCCCCCTCTACTCTGCCCTGGTGAGACCGCATCTGGAGTACTGTGTCCAGTTCTGGGCTCCCCAGTTCAAGAAAGACAGGGAACTGCTGGAGAGGGTCCAGCAAAGGGCAACAAAGATGATTAGGGGACTGGAGCACCTTTCTTATGAGGAAAGGCTGAGGGACTTGGGTCTCTTTAGTCTAGAGAAAAGAAGATTGAGGGGGGATCTTATTAATACATACAAATACTTAATGGGAGGATGCCAGGGGGATGGGAGCAGTCTTTTTTCAGTGGCGCCCAGTGATAGGACGAGGGGTAATGGGCATAAACTTGAACATAGGAAGTTCCATCTTAACATGAGAAGGAACTTCTTTACTTTGAGGGTAGTGGAGCACTGGAACAGGCTGCCCAGAGAGGTGGTGGTTTTTTCTTTTTAAATTAAGAGCTCTTCTAACACAGGAATAGTGTCTACCAGTCAATGAAAATAACTATCAGCTAGCATAAGCATGAAAACGTAACTGTGAAATTAAGGAGCAAGGAAAAGTAAAAGGAGGAAAATATATATGAATGAAACTTTGTCCTAAAAAAAGATTCATGTTCGCCTAGAGAAAATTCCCCACAGCACCTCACCACAGCTGGCTTTATCAGAACTGTTTCTACTGCAATTCACATTTCTATGTTGTTTCATCAGGGATGGAATTTGCTTTCTTTTGTTGTATTTAATGATGGGAATGTTTGCTCTACTGTTTATCATAGGTATATGAAATCAAATGAGACTTTTATCATAGGGCAATACTATAAGTTGTGCCAGAACAGAAGCAACAAAACACCCAGAGAGAAACAGGAAAGATTTCAGCAGGGGGAAAGGCAACAAAAACAATGCAAAGAAAAGGCATAATGGGAAGACTCTAACACAGACTATGTTGTTAGTAAACAATTAGAACACTGTATGGTAATTTAAAAAACTTGGCCAGTGTTTACTTACAGCTGTAGATACAAATTTACTACTCAGATCTTAGTTTTTAAAGGTTCATAGCTTCAAGCAAATTCAATATCCTGTTAGAAGGTTGCCCAACAGAGAAAAGTTAGATAAAATCCAGGCTATTAATACTGAAACAACCCTCCCCTCATCTGGCATGGCAATATTGCCTGTATTATTAGTCAAGTACAGCTGTGGGAGTTTCACAACACACAGCTGAATAACATTTTGATATGTTGAGCAAAGATCACTACTCTTAGATTTTGAAGGTTCTATTAAAAAAAGATTTATGGCATTTATCTCCAGATTATGTGATCTCAGAAACTTAACACAAACATTTTGCCTGTTTCTAAACAAGTATCTTTCCTTCCTCTGGCTTTGTTGGAATGTATAAATTTTGACAAAGTAAATGTGCACTGCACATATGCTATGCTAGATCCTTACATCAGAGCTGCAACTTTGCCATTAATCCACTCAGATTCATTTTTTCCATTCTATGAAACATACATTCTCTTGCTTAATATGCTGCTAAATTTGAACACAATTTTTTTTTTTCAATGCAGAGTACTCTCTTGATTCTGCATTTTGGGTGCCTCAAACAAAGACCTCATATTTGTGACAACCACATTACTGTTTGTCTATATCTGAGCAAAGAGCAGGTAGATCAGGAGCCCTCAAAAAAAGTCACTGACAAACCACTGCAGTAATACAGCCTCACTATTCACAACAGATTCTGATGTTAGAAGCAGAACTGTTAGCGATAGCCTCAAAGTGATGTTGCATCGAAAAAAATAATACTAGTCAAGGGAAGGGTTAATTAATTACAAAATTACTTCCACAATAGCAAAGGAGTCTAGACTACATGCTGTATTAGGAATGTAAGTGCAGTGCATTTTAAACAAGTGGCAAAACTTGTCTAGAGATTGCTCAGACTACAGACAAGCCGCTGACTAGCACCCAGATCCTGGAAAATATTTGGTGCCCTAATGCCCCGAAGGTTGTTCAACAACAGTGGTTTGGTGCACCAAAACTTTTAATGACTCATTTTTGGTAATTCAAGATATTCCAGGAAAATATTTTCAGAAAACTGCTTGCAAACTGTGCCACAAGGTATAGAAATAAATTCAGCACACTGCTCAGCTGAGCTCATAAGTCTCAGCACTGCTCTACCCAAGTTCACACAACTTTTTGTTGACTTGAAGCACTGGCAGAGCAAGTTTGCAAAGTATTACTTAGTCATACCCTCTTATTGCATCAGTGTTTTGCTGTTGTCCAGAACAGCTGAACAGCTGACATTTGGAGATGTAACTGCATTATCACAAGCCTGATACAAATAGTGAACAGGGGGAAACTGATTAAAACTTGCTCCTCCTTCCTATTTAGGCTGAAAGATGTTGCTGACAATGATCACAATACTACCCGTGGTAGTCCAGCATATTCTCATACTTTGAATTTGCAAGGTTACACTGCTTGAAGTCTCAGATTAAAGTCTGAATAAAATCCTGAAATACAAATTCTTATTGGTAATTTTAATTTACAATGTATAAACACTTTCCTCTCCAAAGATTTTCAAGATTGATAAAAGGTTCTACCACAATAACCCAGAGTAAGAGCTGCCCTTCTAAATACTTCACATAGCTGTTAAGGATTTCCCCATTGTTGAAACATTAAAATATTTCAACAACATACAGGCACTACTGCATTGAGGCCTATACTTATACTCAAAATAGGTTCCTAAAGGTCCCAGTGACAAAACAATTGAAGTGTAGCAGATTGCTCTCCCTCTCTGCTAAGCATTCAAAGAAAACTATATACACTTTGCTCCAAGAGGAGAGCTATGCATGCACATTCCTGTTTCCCCAGTAAAGAACACAGCCATATTGCTCTCATGTACTGTAACACTTTCAGGAGAGGTAAATATAGTACATTATCATCATCTCAGTTTCATGGGGCTTCTCATATCTCCAAGATAAGAGCAAAGAAATAAGATTATTTAAGAATTAACATCACTGTTACAAATCAGTTGCAAATTTTACTTCAGCTTCAAAACATACATAGAAGTCCAGCATCAAACATCAAACTGGCATCAAACCGGTATTTTTAACACATATTATTCAATACTTTCGTGTCCAACTAGTAAACTTCATACTTTTTCAGCAATGCAGAATCATAGAAGTATTGAGTATACTTAAAGTGTTCTGCTGGAATAGATAAGCACAAACTGAAATAGATGAAGTGCTTTCTATACTTGATTTTTCTGAAAACTTGAAGCAAGTTTGAAACACTTACTGATTCCATGTTTAGTCCAACTTGTTCAAAAGCCATCCTAATTAAGCGCTTAAGCCAGCAAATCATCTGGAATGGAGAACGCCTTTCCAAACTTGGATTTAAGCCTTCCAAACCTACAGGGCCGCGGAGGTTCCATAGTACTTCTGAAATAAGAAACAAGAATTTTAGATGCATGTTGGTGGAACATATACAGAAGTAAACTGCTACATGTATCCCTAAAAAGAAACCCCAAAACTTTAGAAAGCTTTAGAAACGGTTACAAGACATGTTAGGTGACAACAATTCCTAGTCCTGCAAAGCACAGGCATTCAGAAGGCATTTACTTAATACAGGTGACAATGATTTTTTTAGCACTGTCATTTTTAGGAAATCAAAGCTGTTGCAAAGTTAACAATTAAAAAGCTGGGGAAATCACTGCTCACTTGAGCTTGGACAGATGATGGTGTTCAACAGCTCTAAGTGAGCACCAAGCACTATGAAACGCCTACAGCTGGGGACTAGCACTAAGATTAAAGGGTGATACTCCTATCTAAAACTCATTTCTATGCAGGAACAAACTACAGAAAGCTGATCACCTCTCTTCATTCATATTCTCTGGCAGCTTTGCTGTTCCCTTCTTTTCCCCACAACTGAGGAGAGAAAGGAAACATGGAAAAAAAGACTAATGCAAGAAAATGACAGGAAATAGCGTAGATGTGGGACCTGAAAATATTCAAGCGATGTATAAAATTGGACAGATTTCAAATTCCATCTATTTATATGTACTACCATTCACTTACATCAAGATGGTTTTATTGCTCCTCTAGTGAAAATAGTCACGTTTTTCTTTAACAGTCATAACTTGGACACCACCGACAAGTGTATGTCACCAAGAAAAAAAGGAAGCCATAGGTTTAGGTTTATGTTTGTTTTGTGTATCAGGCTAGCAACAACACTCTGTTGAACCACCCTGAGCAACGTATTTGTAGTATGAACAAGTGTTGCTGAAGCTACTATATATACACAGAGTGATGACTAAAGCAACGTAGCAGCAAGGAACTGGTACTTGGGAAGTCTGAAAGTCAGGAGATGGAAAAGTTATGCTGTTTGAAAGTGCCCACAAGCATTACAGTTAAACATCACTGTTTCCGTTACAAATGTTTTTTTCAACAGTTTACAGTTCCTTGGTAATAACCTGCTTCTTGTAGAAACTTGGCAGGAACAGTATAACTCTACAGTTATCTTTTTTTAGACAGGCTTAGGAAAAAAAAAAAAAAAAGTTGTTATTAGTTTCTTATCACCATAGAAAGTAAAAGACATTTCCTAACAGGATTTTCTTTTGTTTCTGAATAAAATAGGAAGAAACTACAAATTTATCACCTAAAGAATGACTAATGAAAATGTATAGAATGGAAACTGCAATTGTTACAAGAAAAACAAGAGGGAAAAATAATGGGCTATCCATTAAACAGCCATGAATATAAGCTACAGTCATACATAATAAGTAAGTAATGGAATTCTTCATGGAAAGCTGGAAAAGTCTATTAGGAAAGCATTACCGTCTACTCGATCTATTCTTCCTTTAGGCATCTGTTATTCCTCCCTTAGACAAGCTACCGTATGGACTGTATGGATCTTTGATCACATTGCACCTGCTGTGTTTTTAAAACAGGGAGAATACAAGTCTTTCTACATTCCCCATATTAGATTTGGCATCATACCTGGCACTGCAGACATGCAGTGACATAAAAGGGACAGGAATGCTCCTTTAAAAGGGGAAACCTGTTCCAAAAGTGTGATACATGTGATGCACTCCGCCTCATTCCAAAGTTCAGACTTGTCGAACATGTAGTGTGGAAATCAAAGAGAAGAAAAACAGAAGCCGTGTCAAGACATTCAAACAAAAGGCAAAAAAAAAGGTAGAGACTGAATTGCTGAGCAATTGCAAGGACAGGGCTGGCTGGTAAAGGCAAGCGATAGGACTATAAAGGGATGACTGTACCCCAATACATTGCTCTTTCAACAGATAGCCAGGTCATTAGTTTAAAAATCCCCTTTTGTTTCAGGAAGTGAAGAAAAGGTATTATTTTGTTTCTCATCAACTGGGAGGACTGAGTCTTTAATAACAGAGACAATTTGGACAGAAGTGAGAAGAGGGTGTTTGAACTTCCTCTGAAGAAATCAGAGCAGGTCTAGAAAGTTTCCATGAACTCAAGAAACTGAGAAGCAAAGCAGTAAATGAATGGCACAACAACTGACAAGATAACCAATTAAAGGCACAAAAACAGATGCAGAAAATAAATAGCATAATATTAGGATAGCAGAATAGTATAAATATGAAGTAGTAAGTTAACGCTAAGGTGCAAAATGGGTTCCATCTTAAGAGGCATAAAAAAAAAATCCTACACGTGTATTAGCAGTAAGCAGGAGATGAGATACAGCCATGATGTAACAGGATAGGAAAGAAAGCAATGAGTGATATAGATAGCCAGTATATTCTGTCTTTCCAGTTGAAGACAGTAGAAAAGACAGAGACAGGTGTTAGAATGGGTTATAGACAACTCTGAAAAGTTATAAGCATCCAGGACAACAGCATCTAGTGAAATTAATCTTGAACAGCTCAGAAATTAACCGAAGCAATTTCTGAAAGATTAGTGATTGCTTTCAGAAACTCGTTCAATGAGATCCAAAAGACCCGGGAATAAAAGCAGCCCAATGACACAAAGCTTCAGGAATAGTCCAAAATACTTATCCTGCCCTAAAACATTTAGGTAACCTTTTATAATCCCAGGTTCCAAGACTGTGAACGCAAAAGAGCATTCATTCAACAAAACAACTACTTCAGTAAAATGATTGTTTATAGTTCTCATTATAAATCACTGTTTCTTCTATAGCCTAAATACTTAGAGTACTTAAGATTGGGGTCATCCACTCCTTGCTCTTGTCCATGGTCTGTTCTCTGCTTTTGCAGAAGAAAGTGACCAAAGTCAATCTCTAAGAGTGCAGAGTACCAACCAGTTCCTGAATTAGTTTCCTTAGTTCCTGGCTCTAAGGAAAACCATCATGTTTTAACAACCCCCAGCTAATTTATTATCTAAAAGGAAAGTGCTTCTAAGTGTATCAGCGTGATATTTTTATGAGATCTATTAGTTTTCCAGAATTATCCCCAGGCAAACTTGAGACTCCTTTCTTCCAGACTATATTGCACTATACCTTTCTTCATAAATCTCAGTTATTTCATAATTATTTTATGCGCCAAGAACAGAAAGGGTTCATTCCAAATGAAACTGCTGGAGAGCAAGAATGAAAACATTAGCAAATTTTTCTCTCATGTTCTGTATACATGCCAGAAGGAGTTAAATGTTTATTGTTTTTAGTAAGCTCAAATAATACCTCTTTTAAAATATTGATGCTTGCTTTATTTACCCTCTATCTTCTTTATGTTATCTAAACTAAAAATAATAGTAGGTTAATTCTCCTAAAACTTCCACAACTCAATTACTACAATAAAATGCCCCAAGTGATGGTAATACTGCTATAAAGCATGGCCCTTCTGCTGTACTTAAGAAAAACTATTACAACGATAAGCAGTAGCCATAGACAACATTCCCAAAAGAGGTTAGAAGAGTAATAACACAAAGAATTGCATTTCACTGTGGGGGTTGGAATTTCATGGGTTCTTCATTTATAAAACTCTACGTACACAGAAATTAGCAATGCTGAAGAACTTTCTTTCTGATATGGAAACATGCAGGAATTCCCAGGCTCAGAAACGAGGAGGCCTACATTTCTGAGTGTTGGGGTTCTCACTTTAGCATCTTTGAACTCTCTTTTGCCCCCGCTTTTGCAGGTTTCATTCAATACTGTCATATCAAATATCAGTCTACAAAGCTGAGAGATACTACCACTTATAAATTACAAACTGTTCATGAAATAAATATAAAGGCTCTGGAGGCTGTACCTAAGGCATAGCACTCAGTTAAATATGAAATAGAGCCCTTTGCCAGGCTTTCTAGTGATTCCTACACATGAAAGATGAAAAGGAAGAAAAATCATATGCAACTGCTTTCAAACTGAAATTCTTCTATGTGTATTTTCCGATGTTTTATTTGTACAAGTCCCTTTCCAATTATGAGTTCTCGCTCTTAAAAAGAAATATGATATTTTTCTTAGTAAAGGGAGTTTCTCTCATTCACGTAAGATATACACAAAAATAAAAGAGAATGACTTAATGGGCTTGATGCAGCAGATCAGCCTTAACAAAGAATAAACAAATGCATGAAAACTGAAAAATGAAAGGTCTCTAAATTGAAAGGGTATATATAACAAAGAAGTACAAAATTTTCAAAGAAGCATGGTTTCAAAGGAACACCAACCACATCAAAAAATCACACGCAAACCCAGCAGGTTCCTCCTTATTTTAGCAGGAAACTAGGACACACACATCTTCAGTCTTTAAGACTGACACATGACCCAAGGTCATCTCATGAAATTATATCCATAAGGAAACATATTAAAGAAGCAATAAAGAAAGATAAAGCCAACAAAAAGCTATCGCAACAACAGCAAGCCAAACAGGCAGGACGACTCTTTTAATAAAGGATTAGACCCTCTCCCGAATCAACACGGACCAGTTCTAAGTAATCTAAATATTTGGCAGAGATCACACAGCCAAACACAGAAGTCTATTTTTTTGGCTTGGAAGCCACAAATAATGAAGTGCCCTATGACTTTCAGAAACACCTGTTTGGAAAGATATGCCAAGAGAGATAAAAGTCAGTGAATACTACAGAGACAACCAAGGGCTTATCTAAGCTAGTATTGGCATGAAATCTAACACCAGAATTGAAAATAATACATACTTGTAATAGAAGTTGCTAAAGCTTTCTTAAAAATATAGCCTAATCATATATACCTTAAAATGCAAAACCATATTCATCATATTACCCATGTTACCATATCGTGCCAACTAATGATGGAGAACAAAAAAGTCCACAACACTAGATTAATCAAAAGTCTTCGCTCGGCAGAGATTATACCTACACAGTGCAGTACAATACCACAGAGAGGTAAACTAAGTCCTTCAACATGTCTAAATCATACAGTATTATACTATACAGACAGAACCATACACCTACACTGTCCTGCCAGACA